CTAAAACTACTACTACTACTACTACTACTACGTCTTGGCAAGGCAGAGCTCCTCAAGTCACAAACAACCCCTCCCACTGCATGCTTTGTGTGTGAGGAATCTTTAACAACACACACACACACACACACCACACCACAACCATACGAGAAATTAAAAAGAATCAGCTTCTCAGATAAATACAACAGAAGTCTACATAAATCCTTTAAATTCAGTCAAACGGTGGGGAGGGCCGCAAGGGGAGAGTAAGGCAGTTCTCACAGATACAAAAAGAAATTGCAGATTTTTACATAAATGTACCATTTGTTTTAAAAGGTTCTCCCCCCCCCCACCCCACCCCCCCCCCTGGAAGACTTAACAACAAGATTTGTTTGTCACATTTCTTGTAGGTAATTACTTCATCGTTTCTGAACTGTTATTTTTTTTTTTTGCAGAGAACTGTATCTGTCAAAATCCCAAATCCAAAAAAATGCTTCAAACCAACAAAACAATCGACTTATTTTTCCAGAGGTTTTTGCGACCCCACAATTTCACCCAAACACGAAGAAAAAAATTCGCCAGGAAATAACGATCTCATATTTAAACTTTTAAAAAACCTCTCTGTTTGTTAAGTATTTGATTCACAGGAAAAACTAAAAAAGGCTGAACCGATTCCTTCATTTCTTTAAAAATAGCTGTGAAAAGATTACAAAACCCTGTAAACTGAATGAAGCCCATGAGGGAAGCACTTGGGGTGTGTTTCACCATTGATGGATCCACAAATCAATTTCTTATATCCCAATCCAACAAATTAATTACGATAAATTTCCCACGTTTCTCACAGCACTTTGTCACTGGGTATTTAAGTCCCCTTTAAAAGTCATCCACATTTCAAAGGTAGCAAATGAATTTCTTTGCAGCAACTTGTCCGATGAACCTTTGAATGGTCAGAAATCTTTTAAAAGAATTTTTGTTTCAGGTGAAAGACCTCATTCCTTTCGAAGCACATTTTCAAAACATTTGAAATTCAGCCCTAATGAGATCAACAGAAAACGAGTAGCTAAAGCTTTTCAGAAATACTGCACCAGTGGATTTTTTTTTTCACTGGGATATCGTTCATTTTTGTAACATTTGTGAGATACATTTTTAATGGGATGGAAAGAAATAGGTGGAAAGAAATGTGATAAAAATTTCTGTTCATGGTTACAAAACATTACAACAATTTGTTTCTTTCACCGACACATTTATTTTGTAAGTCCCTCCAAGAATCAGATCTATTTTGGAACAAAAATGGATATTGCCAATTTCTTTTTGTATATTTGATGATTAAAAGGATCCAGGGTCAGTTTGGCGAGAGCACAAATTGTAGTTTGAGTTCAATATTATTAAAAATTCTTATTTTAGTTACGAATAAAGCACATTTTTGCTTTTGAGCAAAACCTTTTCTACAAGTGAACAAGCGTTTAACCCAATTTTTCATTCACTGGATAAAACAATTCTTTGTTTAATCATTTCTTTTTTACTCCTTTTTTACAAAAACAACACCCAGCATTTTATGAAATCAGATCTAAGGGGTGGAAAATAGCCAAACCATCCAGATGATAAAATCACAAACAATCTGTATTCATTTCAAGAAAAGAATCCGTTTCTTGAATTCTTTGTAAAATAAACTGCAATTGTGGGAAAAAAATATTGTGATTCAGTTGGTAGTTTCAGTTTTGTTTTGAAAATAGACTCATCAAATGCAAGGACACCTTGCATTTAACAAATAAAAAATACTAAGTTGTTTTAAAGCAACAATCAACTTATTTTCAAGCACTTTCTCGAAACCACACTTCACCCCAAAGAACAAATTCAACAGGAAATAGGCATGTCATATTTGAGCTTTTAAAATCTCTCTAAAATTTAGCAAATCTTCTAGAATTTGCTAAATATTTGATTCACAGCGAAACGACAATTAATGAAAATCTACAACAACTTAAAACAACCCACAACGTGTTCCAGCATTTGAGAAATGTTAAGTTTTCTCGCAAACAAGCATATGTCTAACCAAATCTCTCGCTTTAGCGAACACATAAACATCCCAAACTTTAATTCAGATTATTTATCCACATTTTCACCAGATTAAACTCTCCCATCCCTTTCCCACCTCTCCTCAAATACAAAACTTCGCACACAGGCTAACACACAAAAAAAAACACATTTCAAAAACTTTGTGGTGAAGCTCACACATTCAGAAGGTGTGTTTTTTTTTTGAAAAACACTACCCCTTCAATAGGAAATTCAAGAGTCTCCATTTTGCATCCAAGTCAAATGTCTGGGGCAAAAAACACACACAACACACCTCAAAATGAAAAAGAATTGACATTTCACCATTTTCAGATACAAAAATGCAGCAGAGAGTGGGGCAAAGTCAGGTTAGAAATGCCATTGGATTGAGAGTGTATCCTTTGCCTTAATCACAGATACATTTCAACCCACAAATGTTGATCACAACTGATCACAAGTGTTGCCAATGACTGGATCCAGAATTGGTATTTCCCTTCAAATCCTTAGAAAACTTTCAAAAGAAGAAAATCTTAAGTTCAGCTGATGAGTGACTCCCTTAGTACAGCCACACATCGATTATTTTTTATTTAATCACAGTAATTGGGTGGTCAGAAATCTTCCCAACACAAGAGCCCAGAGGGTTGGGAAAAACCTGACCTATTGTATCAAACAATCCCTTTCCCCTCAAATAACTAAATGACCCCCAAAAGTCCTTTCTCTTCCAAACAGGGACTTGTGAAGCAATGATCCCCAAACCATCAGCAAACTCTAAGTGGCTTTAAAGCAGAGATCAACTTAAATTTCAAGCAGTTTTTTTGTTTGGAGACCCCACACTTTATCACAAGGAAAGAGCAAATTCCCCAGGAAATTACTATGCAATACTTAAACATTTCTCTCTTTATATATATATATATAAATAAGATTTATACATTTGAAATACATAGATATCAGTGGAATTGCACTTCAATAAAAGCCCAAATGATTTATAAGGGGAAGAAACACAACAAAACCTCACAATAGGGGGAAAACACAGCACTTGTTCACAGAGAGATTCGTTGCCTCATGGAGGGGAGAGGGGGGGAGAGAGAGAGAGGGGGAGAGAGGGGGAGGGGGGAGGGGGAGAGAGAGAGAGGGGGAGGGCGGGGAGAGGGGGAGAGAGGTGGGGAGAGGGGGGAGGGGGAATGGGGAGAGAGAGGGGGAGAGAGGGGAGAGAGAGGGGGAGGGGAGGAGAGAGGGGAGAGAGGGGGAGAGAGGGGGAAGGGGGGAGAGAGAGGGAGAGAGGGGGAAGGGGGTGGGAGAGGGGGAAGGGGGAGAGAGGGGGGAGGAGAGGGGGAGAGGAGCCTTCAGTGAAGTTCCCAACACTAATGGGCGGTGAGGAACCCATTTCTGAGATGAGGACAGAACACAACACAACCACAACCCCCGTTTGGTGACACCCGGAGACCAGGGCTGACCTGCCGGGGGGGGGGGGGGAGGGTGGGGGGGAGAAGAGGACTTCGATCGCGCAACATTCGTTAAAGGTTTTCACACCACCGAATAGCGAAGGAATGGGAGAGAGAGAGAGAGAGAAGGAGAGAGAGAGAGAGGGGGAAAGGAACTCATTTCATTCAATACAGAGCGTTTGTTCCATCGAATCGACCCGATCTCTCCCTCACACCCAGAGACCCCCCCCCACCCCCCGGGGGCCACTGAGAGACCCCCCCCCACCCCCAGACCCCGGGGAGCCTCCCCCCCCCCCTCCCCCCCTCTCCCCCTCATGAGAAACCAACCCACAGTTTGGAAGCCGCGTCCCCTCCGGGAAAGCGCTGTATATGTCTATATCCACATATCTATATCTCTGTCTCTCTCTCTCTCTCTGTATATATATATATCTCTATAACTATATCTATATTTCAGCCCCAATTCTTTTCTCGTTTTTTTTCTGTTCAAAAAAAAAGCGCGGTTTAAAAAGATCAAAGCTCTCCCCCCAACGACGCACCGGACACACCTCTCCCCCCTCTCCCCCCCCCAAAAAAGGGGTTTAAACTCAGTCTCCCCCGAAGAAAAAGGGGGGGTTTCCCCCCCCAAACCCCCAACACAGACACCCACCGCTACACAGTGAGAGAGAGAGGCGTTAAGAGTTCGGGACACACAGTGAAGTCCCTCAGAGTCACTGCGTTACAAACACACGTTTAAGGAAACAATTTCCCTTAAAAATAAAAACACTCCACAATGTAACCCCCAGAGGTGCAAATCCGAGGGGGGAGAGAGGGGAGAGAGAGGGGGAGAGAGAGGGGAGAGAGGGGACCGTATCCATTTGGGGTTTTTTATTTATTGAGATATATATATATATATATATATAGAAAATTGGGGATTCGGATGGAGAGGGTTTTCAAATGGGGTAACACATTCCCCCCATCACCACCACCACCACCACCAGTCCAGGAAAGTCACTCCTAATGTCCCCGATGCTCTGGACGTGGCTTTTCTTTATTACTATTACTATTATTATTATTATTATTATTATTTGTATTCTTATTTTTAAACAGAAAGTTGATTTATCACATGTATCGAAAGCAAACGAGGGAGAGGGAGAGGGGGGAGAGAGGAGGGGAGAGGGGTTGGGGGGGGAGAGGGGTTGGGAGGGGGAGAGGGGGTTGAGGAGGGGGAGAGGGGGTTGAGGAGGGGGAGAAGGGGTTGGGGGGGGAGAGGGGTTGAGGAGGGGGAGAGGGGGTTGGGAGGGGGAGAGGGGGTTGGGAGGGGGAGAGGGGTTGAGGAGGGGGAGAGGGGTTGGGGAGGGGGAGAGGGGTTGAGGAGGGGAGAGGGGGTTGGGAGGGGGAGAGGGGTTGGGGAGGGGAGAGGGGGTTGAGGAGGGGGAGAGGGGTTGGGGAGGGGGAGAGGGGTTGGGGAGGGGGAGAGGGGGTTGAGGAGGGGGAGAGGGGGTTGAGGAGGGGGTTGAGGAGGGGGAGAAAGGGGCCATATATAAGCAATTATACCTCTGTCTTTTGGGCACCGAATGCTCCACTTCGATGCGTTTCCCATGCAGTTCCACTTTTCCTGCAAATAAACGGTTCATTTTATTCCAATTCATTTTCTTTCTTTGTTTTTTTTAAATAGAAAACAAAAGCTGAGAAATAAAACCACACGTTTCACCTTCAGAGAAAAGAACCCCTTTCCTCCCAACATCATCATCATCATCTCTGTCACAAGAGAGAGAGAGAGAGAGAGATCTCAGGAGTTAACCAAATAAATGGAAGGAGTGTGTTGTGAGTGTCTGTGTTTAAATGAAATTTTCTTTGCAACTGGAGGGGGGGGAAGAGACTGAGCGAATGTTAAGTTTCCAAACAAAATACATCCCTTAACGATAGCTCCAGATCTGTGTGGGATAGAAAACGTCGTGACCTGTGCAGACGTGAGCATCTTTTTATTTAGATTTCAAAGTTACATTGTGTCCAGAAAGCATCTATTTTCAGTGTTTCTCTCTCTCTCTCTCCTTGTTTTTAAACAAAAAGGTGGCAAAACGATTCAACAACTCCTGTGTGTGTGTGTGTGTGTGGGGGGGGGGGGGGTACACTCACAGGGAGTATGGCCCACCTTCAAGCTTTTAGGTGAAGGCAGACAAAAATTACATTAAAATTGTTAAGGAGAGTCAGAGAGAATGAGAGAGAGAGGGGGTGAGAGAGAGAGAGACACAGACACAAACTGAGGCCACAAAGATTCATTTAGAGACCTTTCCCTCTAAATTGGGAAATTTGGGCATTTGCAAACAAATATATATATATATATAGTGAATGGGACCTTAGTTTGAGTAGAAATCAGCCAAAGGATAAAACTGCAAACCTACTACTATTATTATTATTATTATTACTACCAACCTAAGCAAACGAGGGCCTATACTATACTATCTATCACTCACTCAGGGTGGGCTGTGGGCTACTAACATGGGGCGAGTGGGCTCACACAGAGGGAGCCAGTGGCTTGAGCACATCACAGGCAATGTCTCGCCACTCCAACCAACAAGAAAGTCTTTGCTCAACTGGATCCCAACAGCAAAGAGTGAGGAATAGGGGAGGAAGGGGAGTGGTGGGGGGGTGGGGTTGGAGGGGGAAATGGGGGTGTGATGGAAGAAGAAAGAGATGTGGGTGGGTGGGTATGTGTGTGTTTTTTTTTAAACCACGCAAGGGTTTGAGTGGAATGGGACGAGACAGCAGAAACCTGCGTGAAAAAAAGAGAGGCACGTTAAAAACAACAGAGAGGAGAGAGAGAGAGAGAGAGAGAGAAAAAGGGGGGGAATTGGCTCTTCATTGGCACCCCCTCAACCTTGAGGGAGACCCAACATGTAGACTTCCCTCCCCACCCCACTCAACACACACACACACACACACACACAAAAATCCACGCCAGTACATGCATGATCCCCAACATCATGTGTGTGTGTGTGTGTTCCTGAGGAGGGAGGGAGAGAGAGAGGGGGGGGGAGGGGTGTGTGTGGAAAAAACACCCAACCAAGCCATCTGCAACTCTCTAGAGGAGGGGACACGTACTGGTAGTAAGTGTGGAGTAGGCCATTGTAAAACTGGGGAGAACACAAGGAATATTGGGGTTGGGTTGGGGTTTGGGGGGTGATGAGCCCTCTCCCTCTCTCTCCCTCTCTCTCTCTCAAGTCAGCCCCAACTCTGGTCTCTCTCTCTCTCTCCCTCTCCCTCTCCTCTCTCTCTCTCTCTCCCTCTCCAGTCCATATATGTTTGGCTGAAAACCACTTACCGGATAAGGTGTCGATGGCTTTCATGGCACAGCTCTCGTCTGGACAGTCCACAAAGGCATAGCCCGTCTTCACCAGGAATTGGCCGCTGAAGGGGATCTTCCAGTCGGCAAAGACCGTCTCCAACTCTGCCACCGTCACGTTTTCACTCAGGTTTCCGATGTAAAGCTTATTCATGGTGGTGGGTGGGTGGGGGTGTGTGTGTGTGGGTGGGGGGTGGTGTGGGTGGGTGGGGGTGGTTGGTTTTCTCCAAAGGGAGGGAAAGGAGAGAGAGAGAGAGAGAGAAGGGGGAAGAGGGAGAGGGAGGAGAGGGAAGGGGGGGGGGGGGGGGTTTGGGGGGAAAAAACACTCTCACACACACACAGGGAAGAGAGAGAAAAAAAAACGAGAAAAAAGAAAAAAAAACACACACACTCTGAGATAATCTCTCTCTGATTTTTTTTCTCTCTCTCTCCTCCTCCTCCTCCTCTCCTCTCTTCCTCTCCTCTCCTCTCCCCCCCACCCCCCCCCTCCCAACACACACACACACACACACCCCACTCCCCCCCCACCCCACCCCCAAAAAAAAAGAGAGAGAGAGAGAGAGGAATATTTACTAACGGGATCTGGGGGCTCACTGGAAAGAAAGGAGAAGAGAAGAGAGAGAGAGAGAGAGAGAGAGGGGGGAGGAAGAGGGGAGGGAGGAAGAGGAAGAGGAGGAGGGGAGAGGGTGGGGGGGAAGAAAAGAGAGAGAAAGCGGAAAAAAAAAAGGCACAAAACGGTACACAAAAAAAAGTGTTTGCCGGAAATGGGGAGTTGTGGAGCGCTGTGGCCGGAGCTGTGCTCTCTCTCTGCTCTCACACTCTGGTCTTCTTTCCCCCCAAACCCCCGTTGAGTCAGACTGTGAAAATGTCACAGGACGTTGACGGTGGCACCGCCTCTAAATAAAATCGACCTTAAAAAATGGGCTGAAATATATTTATATATATATATAAATACATATATATATGTGTGTGTGTGTGTCTCTCTCTCTCTCTGTGTGTGTGTGTGTGTGTGTGAGTGAGTGTTCTCTCCACGCGGTTACACACTGCCAAACCCCTCACGTGTAACCAACCTGGTGTCAGTTTCAACCCCCCCCAAAAAAAAAATTCTCTCTCTCTCTCTCACACACTCTGTCTCTCTCCCCCCCCCTCTCTCTCTCTCTCTCTCTTTCTTTCTCCAGATCTTTTGTTTACCAGGAAACGTCACCCAAACCGACCCCAATCCCTCCTGTCCTCACTTTAGCCCCAATGGCTCATGTCTTTGTAGAGAGAATGGTCAACACCCCCCACTCCACCCCCCCCCCACCCCTTCTCCCTCTGTGTGTGTGTGTGTCTCTCTCTCTCTCTCCTCCCCCTCTCTCTGTGTTTCTCTCTCTCTCCCCCCCCCCCTGTATGTGTGTGTATGTGTCTCTCTCTCCCCCCCTCCCCCTGTGTGTGTGTATGTGTGTGTCTCTCTCTCTCTCTCTTCTTCCCCCTCCCCCTATGTGTGTGTGTCTCTCCCCCTATGTGTGTGTCTCTCTCCCCCCCCTCCCCCTATGTGTGTGTGTCTCTCCCCCCCTCTCCCCCTATGTGTGTCTCTCCCCTCCCCCTATGTGTGTGTGCCTCCCCCCTCCCCATGGGAACCCCCCTGAGATGGCTATTAGCTTTTTTTTCTGAATGGGTAGTTTGTGGGTGAATTTTTTTTTCTCAATGAGCTATGGCGTTCCTGGCGCCAATGGATTCCCTGTGGCTTTATTTTTTGGGGGAAGGGGAGTGAAAGGGGGAAGGGCAGGGGGTTGGGGATGGGGGGAGGGGGAGGGGGTTGTTGGTGGCTGTTATTATTCCTCGTAATGGGCACATTTAACGTCTGTGTCCCGACCATTGGAGTGATCTGGAGAGCTTTTTTGGGGGGGAAAAAATTTTTTTTTTGCCTTTGCCCATTGGAAATCTGAACGAGTTTACGTTTGATTATTATATTGTTTCCAGAAGTTACTAACCCCCCCATTTGGACGCCTCTGTCCTCTCCTTCCCCCCACTCCCCCCATCCCTCCCCCCCCCCCCCCAACACCAAGCTCTGATCTCAGTGGTGACTGATTTATAACTCGCAAACTTAATAGATGGCAATAACGAAACGCTTAACAATTGTGGGGAGAAATAACTCGGACTGTGTGATCTGACCTTCATGGCGTGTGTCCCCCCACTACCCCCCCCCAAAAAAAAAATTCCTCCCCCAACTGACCCCGAATTTCTCTTGAAACGTACTGCTGGAGAGGGGCTGAGAGTGGAGGGACCCCCCACCCATCCACACCCCAAACCGTTGCAGGAGGTCGATCTCAAGTCATTTGCTTCTCAGAGGTAATTTATCTCCTAGAAAGTCCTCCCTCCCCCCCCCCACCCCCCCCCCCCCACCCCAAGGCGTTGTTCTCCATTGTTATACCGTATGGGCCACCGAGAGAGCACATGGACAGGTCAGGATTGTGGGGGGGGGGAGTGGGGGGGGAAGAGGTGTTCTTATCGCACAGATAAACACCAGAGAAATCATTTAGAATTGCCAGAATTTCGTGATCCTCTCCCCCTCCCTCTCTCCCTCTCCCCCCTCCCTCTCTCCCTCTCCTCGGGTGGGTGGGTGGGTGAGTGAGTGGGTGGGTGAGTGGATATAAAAATAATAATTTTTAAAAAAATATATTTTTAAAAAAAAGGGAAGCAATTGAACGAGAGGGAAAAGACCTCAAAGATCCCAATTCCTCCCACACCGACTTGCACTGAAATCGGATTCGTTCGTCGTTTACTCCCGGTTACTCCTGAGATAGTAAAGAGTAAATGAAACCCCCAACACCCCCCCCCCCCCACACCAACACCCCCCCCCCCCAACACACACACACACACACACAGCCCCGAGCAAATACCTCATCTGTTAACACGTCACCTCGTTCAGTTGAATGGATCTGATCGCTACAACCAGGTGTGTGTTTATGAATGAATCTTCAGTACTAAGTAACAAGTTAATGAGTGCTTCTGCCCGGTGGGGGGGGGGGGGGGGGGGGGTGTGGTGTGTGTGTGGGGGGTGGGGGTAACTCTCAACCGACCCCCCCAAAAAACCTGAGCAAATGTACCCCAACCACTGCAATCACTATTGCGTTGGACGCAGCGCATTATTCGTGGAGACGTCTCCAAGCGCTTCCCCTGCAATGTCAGCGCAACATCCATCGGTTCGGGTCTCTTTTTTTCTTTTTTCTTTTCGAACCACCGGGACCTGAAGCCATTCGATTGCAGAGTCAAAAAAAAATAAAAAAAAATGTTATTAATACGAATGGGAAGGAATTCATTGGAACGAAACTGGATTCAACAAATGAAATGCAACGCAATTGACTCCTGACCTCATCTTAACTCCCCTCTTGTCCCCCCCCCCACCCCCCACCCCCAGAACAGCCACCGAATAGAATGAATGAATCGTAATTTTGTTGGGGTTTTCACTCCCCCCCCCAAAAAAAATGAATAAATCAACAAAAAGAATCGTGTTGGAAGATTAAAAGTCGATTTTTTTTTTTTTGGTGGTGGTGGTGGGGTTTGTGGGGGGGGGGAGAAGGGGGGAGGAATTGTACAAATATGTTGTTAATTTATTTTTAATTCTCGAGCTCGGTTTGGAAGAATATTGATGAACTTGTCTTGTCCTTCGCAGAGAGGTTGGGGGGTCAGGGAGTCTGGACCTGAACCATCTTCACTGAGGACTTGAGCACATTAAAGCCCCATTTAAAGGGGCGCTACAGCCTTTGTGTCAGTTCAGCTTCAAACCCAGTGAGCACTAACCCCCCCCCACACACACACATATGTTCTCTCTCCCCCCCCCCCCCAACCACACACACACACATTCTCTCTCCCCCACCCCACACACACACACATGTTCTCTCTCCCCCCCCCACACACACACATGTTCTCTCCCCCCCCACACACACACACGTGTTCTCTCTCCCCCCCCACACACACACACATGTTCTCTCCCCCCCCCCAACCACACACACACATTCTCTCTCCCCCACCCCACACACACATGCATGTTCTCTCTCCCCCCCCACACACACACATGTTCTCTCTCCCCCCCCACACACATGTTCTCCCCACACACACGTGTTCTCTCCCTCCCCCCACCACACACACACATGTTCTCTCTCCCCCCCCCCCACACACACACACACACACACGTGTTCTCTCTCTCCCCCCACCCCTGTTACGGATCTTAAGAGGGTTTAGGTTTGCACATCACATGGATTAAAACAAACGTGTGTATGTGGGGGGGGGAAGGGAGGCGTTGGGGGGGATGGACTTCATCTTCTGTTTTTCGTTGAAAACGTCCCCCCCCACCCCTCCCCCACAGGCCTTAGAAGCCTGAAATATTGCCATCGCCGGATGGGGTAATGGTGGTGGGGGGGGGGGGGACAATGTTATATTTACGGAGGGTTTGGGTTCAGTTGATGGTCAACTCTGTCCATGGCATTGGGTTGATGTTGGGTTGACACCTCACCCATTGCTGGTAACATAAGCGGGTGACACATTTTGCCACTTTTTGGGGGAATGTTTTTCACCATCCGATCCCCCCCACCCCAAAGAAATCAGGCTCAATTGACCCCCCCTCCCCCTCCCCCCACAAAGAGGATCAGATCAGAGCTGAGCTTTGGGTAAATGAATACAATACAAAATTATATTTGTAAAGTGCCTTTCACAGTCAGGCATTTAGGATCCAAGCTTGGGGGGTGGGGAGGGCAGTGGGGTGCGTGGGGGAGGGGGTTGGTATCAGGGAATGTAGGGGGTAGAGAAGGAAGGAGGGTGGCCAAAGGCATGGTCAAAGAGGAGGCTCTTGAGGTGTGTCTTGAAGGAGACAAGGGAGGGAGCGAGGTGAAGGGAATGTGGGATGGAGCTCCAGAGGGTGGGGGCAGAGAGGCTGAAGGCCTGACTGCCGATGGTGGGGTGGGCCGGGGTGGGGGGGACATGGAGCAGGCCAGAGCTTGCTGAGCGGAGGGAGCGGAGAGGTTGATAAGGGGTTAGCAAGTTGGAGAGGTAGGAAGGGGCAAGGGCACGGAATGCCTTGGAGGTGAGGATGAACATTTTGTACTTGACCCTTTGGGGGATGGGGAGCCAGTGGAGTCGGGCGAGGGTGGGGCTGATGAGGTCACGGAGCCCGGT